TTCCTGGTGGCCATTAAGCATTTTTTTCTCCTTGTTTTGTTTCTACTCATCTGTTTTAATACACAGCTCTCTCCCCAGGATGGAGAGGCGCCAGCATCCTGGGGAATGGCTGCCTGCGGGCGGCTGTGGGGAGAAGGGTTCCTGCTGTGTGGAAAAAGAGAGCAAAGGGAGCAGAAAAGGACAAATTTCAATGTTTTCTCTGGACGGAGTGGCAGGACCGGGGGTGGGTGTGATGCTGGGGCTGGGACTGAGAGGTGGGACTTTCTGTCGGTGTTTAAATCACGTCCTGGCTGAAGTGCTTTTTCACAAGCACAAGTTGTGCCACCCTGGCAAGCCCCTGGGCCATTTCTCCAGCCTCAGCTGGGAAGTGAGGGCTTCCCAGGAGAGCCAGAACCGAAAAACCGCAAATTATCTGATTCCTGAGCTCTGTGGTCCCTAAGGGCTCTCAGAAGAAATTAAAGGACACATAGCATAGCTAGGATCCGTCCTCTTGAACCCCTCCCCCATCCTTATTTGGAGGAGGGGCACACAAATACAGAGGGGTCCTTGTCTGTGATGGCTATGGGACATGGCCATCAGTGATGCAGCGTGCACTGGGGAGGGAGAAGTGAGATGTCCAGGCGCTGACAGCGTGAAAGCCAGGCTTTCTTCCACCTAATTGGATTCGTTATTCAGCTGAGAAGCACTGAATGGCTTGGGTGGGCTCTGAGCTCAGGATTTCAGCGAGGAAGTCGGGCCGACGCGGTAAAGTGGGTCACACTGCTGCAAACAGGGTTGATGGCGCTGCACAACAGTCAATGATGTTAAATAAGGAGGTGGTGAAATGGAAAGAAAAGGGAGATTGTAAGGAGGAAGGAAAAAATGAGCTCAGCCTCTGCTATTCACTCCCACCAGGAGTCCTTGCTGCAGGCTCCCATCTTGGGCCCCGCCATGCCACCGCCTGTACCCACAGGGTACTGTGCTCCAGCTCTGCGCTGGAGTAAAAGGGATCAGTCCCGGTTTAAATTTCCAGTGGGTTGTGGGGAGCTGGGGGCAATGGTTTTTCCTGCGCTTTGGAAGCTTAACTTCATTTGTGAGCAGCATTTTCTGGAGTGGCAGTTTGTGAACCTGGACCTTTTTCAAGGACTAAAACATGTTGGGTTTATCCCGAGGGAGAAGGTGTGTGGGAAAACAATCTGACAAGGGATGTGTTGCAGGGCAATGTGCAATGCTGGAGCATTAATTAACATGCAGGAGAAGGTGGCAAGCCAAGGACACGAGGCTTCAGTGCTCTGTATAGCCATGGATGAATTTGAAAGTGTGTTGGATGGCTGCACAAAACACTCCTCCACTCCAGCAATGTGTGTAAAATGCCAGAGCCAGCCTCTGGATGGATGTAGGGCTTCCTCAGACACCGGAGGTATTAAATCACCAGCTACTCTGCTTTTAATTGACTCTAGTGACAATGCGAGAGCGAGCTCAGATGATAATTCCCTGCAGGGCTTCACGGCACAACAGTATTATTTCAAGGGCAGCTGGGGTCAGGCTGGGAAAATGCTTATTTAAAAAACAACAAGGCACTGTGAGTTTTATTTAAATGAGACGTAGGAGGATCAGCCTTTTGCATCTGGGCATGTTCAGCACTCTCAGTCCCTGGGGATGGAGGCCCTGAGACCTGGGCCTAGGAGAGGCCTAGTCCCACTTGCTGCCTGCCTGGTCCCATCTCAGAACATGGCCCTGCCTTCTCCTCCCAAATGCTTTTTTGGACGTTGAGAAGCTGAAAGCTGTGTCCTGTCCAAGCTCTCCCATGGGGACAGGCCCCTGTGGAATGAGGCAGGAGGTGTGGGACAACCCCCCTTCGGTGGCCTGGTCCTGCCTGCAGCAGTTCATTGCCACACCTGGCTCTGAGCAAGGGCCGGATCCCTGAAAGACCCTGTACCTCTGTGGCTCCTGTGCTGGTCTCCTGGCCACCTCATGGGTGTCTGAGCTCCCAATGCCCTAAGGCAAGGGCTGGCCATAGCATGTGGGCACGTTCCCCAGGAGCCTGGGAACACACAGCCCCTGCAATGCCACCAGACAAGGCTTTCCCAAGTGCTCGCTCCCAGACAAAGCTGAGCTTGACCTGCTGAGATGGAGAAAAGGCTCTTTTAATAAAGCAAAACAAATCACGTTTACATTTCTCCCCCGGTACCTCCAGCTCAAACCCAGCCGCCCTCTGACTGTGCTTTATTCTGGCTGTTACATCCGTTTCCATCGCCCACTCCCCTTTTACTTTGTTACTGCTAACCAAGAAACCTTTGTATTTGGCATCGCATTTAATTCCATAGCAACAGGTTGCTGCTGTCACAGCAGCTGCTGATTGCTTTTGAATTGTCTTTCAGGCAAGCTCCAGAATAAATACAAAAGAGCAGGTCTTTGCATGGCTCATATCAAAGCTAGCCAGTCGCAAAGCCTCTCGAGCTGGTATTTAAAGTCCCAGAGTCCCATATAAAACCTGAATCAACAAAACTGAAAGGGATTTCATCCGCTCACTCCCCCTCTTTTTCCTTCTCCTGCTCATCAAACAGTAATTTCTACCCTGAATTGGTTTCCCAAAGGGCTCTTTAATGAGCTTTTTCAATGGAGCCTTACACTCATCTCTGCCCAGCTCATGTCAGCTAACACTGCTGCCCACCCAGCTCCTGTGGGCAAAGAGACATGTTCTCAGTCTTTATTGCTCAGAAATTCAGGCTCCAAATTCCCTCAAGACCACGCATAACATCCGTAGGAAGCTTTGCTTTCTGAGCCAAACAGCCCCTGACAGTGAGAGGATGCAAATATCAATTTGCTTGCAAGCACCACCAGGTGCTCGAAGCGATGCTCTCGCAATCCCAGTTCTGAGCAAAGCTGGAGCTGCTGGTCTCATGGTTGGGCAGAGCCCAGAGCCTTCCCAGAGTAGGGCTGGATCAGACCACCACTCCTCTGGGATGGGGAGAAACACACGCGGAACAGCCACGTGAACAGGAGCCTCAGCTGGAAAGCCCATCTCGGCTGTCCATGGGCCCCTTTCTTGGAAGCTGCAGCAGCCAAGCAAAGGCAAATCAGAAAAACAGAAGTACTAATTCTTCTCATCTTCCCTAGAAATTGCTGGCTTTCCCTGCAGGAGTATGGCTGTGTCTGGGTTGGGCCCCCTCGACCTATTTGGCAGGTGTTAGCACTGCAGACTTGCAAGTTCTCCTAAAATCATGGCACAGTCAAGTTAAGCGAGAGCAGCCATGGAGTAGACACGTGATGTCCTCAGGACATGAGAACCCTGAACTTTATTCCCAGGTCTACCACTAACCTTGGACAAGACACTTGACATGGTGCCTCAGTTTCCCCAGTGTCAAAGCAATAATAATTACAGCTGGGCTGGTTGCTTAGGAGGTTGTGACTCGCCCCACCAAGTGCCAACCCTGTTATTATTCCTTGGCCCTGTTATTAGACCTAAATCCAACTTGCTTAAGAATGAAGGCTCCTGTGAAAAACACACAAACTGTTTCCCAGATCATAATTTTTATTAAAGTTCACAGGCAGCTGGAGGAAAGAAACAACAACCAACCCTAGAAAATGTAAATAAACGTCATTCCAACCATTGCAGACCGGCTGTGCACAAAGTGTGTTCTTCCCGGCAGCACCGGCCACACGCTGCTCCAAAAAGACCTTTGTTGTTTGAAGCCATGTCAAGGCTTTTCATCGCATTGCATCATGCAGCTGGCCAGGCTACAGCTTCACCTAATCCAGGGGTGAAAGGCAAGCACGGAGCACCTGCAGGGCCAGATCTGCTGCAGAGGGAAGCGGGACGCTGGGGCGGTGCAGGACCGGCCTTCAGTAGTGGTCTGCCCTGGAGGAGGCCAGCCAGGAGCTTCATCCCTGTATTGACAGCCAAAATCCGCGTGCCTTCCTCCACAGCGTGAATGAGGAGCGACAGGGGCTGACAGCTCTTGCATGGATAAACCCAAATACGATTGGCAGCCAGCGTGCGCGGATAACCCGGGGCAGCGAGAGCCCAACTGTTGGCAGGCAATATGCAGCCAAAAATGCTCACATCTCTCCAAGGTGAAGCTGGGACACATGGCGCGGTGCGAAGGAGGGGATCCCTCTCCAGCCCGCCCTGCGATGCTCCCCTCGTTCGCTCGCTTTCCCTCCAAGGCCTTGCCAGAGGCACGAGCTTTGCCCCGCTGCACCTCTGCGTCTGCTCATTTGCTAATTACGCCCTCACCCACGCACTCTCCGGCGAGCGCGGCGGGGAAGCTCAGAAGACCGGCTCTGAGCACGCAGCGGGTTTTATCTGGTGAATATCTCGGCAGCGGTGCCGGGCCTTGGCACGCTAACAGAGCGCCGTGCTCTTCCCAGCAGCTGTGCGGGGAGCTGCCTGGCCTCTGACCAAATTGCAGCTGGCTGTGGCGAGGAAAGGGGGAAAAACTTATAAAAAGGCTCAAAGTGCAACACAAAAGGCACCTGCCTTGTTTCTCCATGGTAGCCGGTGCTGCTGGCAGCCACGCCGAGCTCCCATGCTTTAATGTCTCGACAGCCATCGCCTCTGTGGAGCGGCCAGAGGATGGGGAGAGCACGGTGCTCTCTGCCACCCCAGCCCCTTTTCCCTTTAAAAAACACTTCCACATCACCCAAACAGCAGCCATTGCCAATGGCAACTTCACTGCCTTTAAAACAAAGTATTAGTATCTTGTAAACCCCCCAAACCGAGTAGCAGAAAGCACCTAACAGCTCCCATGCTAAGGGATGCAGCCCAGTGCACACCCTCCATCTCCCCAGTCCTGTCAGGCACCCACAGTGTCATCCCTGTGCCCCCCATACCCACCCCAGCCCGGCAGCCAGCACTCCTGGCTCCTCGCTGTCCCTGCACAGTGGCTGGTGGTGGGGCTGGGTGGCCCTTGGTGACCTCATGATGTGGTGTCGATGGCAGGGCAGACTGTGCCCCCCACTCCTGGTGCTGGGAAGGGATGCAAAAGGGTCCTCAGAGTCCTGCGCCGGGGGACGGGAGGGGACTCAGTCGCTGTGTTGGCTCCAGGAGCAAGACAGGGGACGTGGATGTGACTCTGGCACCTGGGGAGGAAAAGAGAAAGCGCATTAACAGCCACAATGCTCAGCTCAGCCCGCACCAGAAAAGGGGTTGCACAGTGGCAGCTGTTGGGGTAACCCCCCCAGACTCCAGGGATGGGTGGAGGAGGAAAGCGGTTGGTTGGTTTGGGGTGTGTTTTGCTTTTGTGGGAGAGGGGAGGGAATGGACGTTCAGCTGGGGAGGCCTCAGAGCAGCAGGGAGCCAGGCAAAGCACAGGAAACCTCTGTGGACATGACAAGGGAGTGAAAAGTTGAGGGAAATGGAGCTTTTAGCTTTTTTTTAAAGCAGGAAGGAGGGCCCAAGAACTGGAACAGACAAAACAAAAAGACCTTTTTTCTCTTTTTCCACCGGTTCCTCCAAAACCATCCATAGGACTGACATTTCCAAAGGGTTGATTAATCCAGTCTGGGGCTGAGGCTCAGACTGCACATGTTTCCATCTGCCCAAGGTTAGGAAAAGCCTGATTTTCATCGACTTTCCTCCCCAGGCCAGCCACTCCCTCCCAAGGCTGCCTGATAAACTGGCTTCAGAGACAACCAGCCGCTTGGAAAGAGCAGCAGAGGCAAAAACTGCAGTCCCTGTTTATCCAGCTTTATGCATGCAAATGGGTTTTGCAAATGGATTTCTCTAGAAGCCACTGAGAGAGAAACCAGCTGTGACTTTGTTCTGGCAATACCAGTAAGGTTGTAACAGGTTGCAAGCAACCACCCCAGTGGCACGCAGGTGAGCTGCAGTCTTTAGGAGCTGGGAGACTATCCTGAGTGTCTGGGGTTTTTTTAGGGCTGCCGTTTGCAGGCACCTGGGGCTTTTGCATGGGAAGATGCCCGGCTGTGATCTGAGCTCCGTGGGGGAGCCGGGAGCGATACACAGCAACAGAACATCTTGCAAGGTAAAAGCTGACCAAGTGCTGGTCCATGTGGAAGGAAAGCCAAGCCAGGCAGCAGTAAAACCATCTTTGCAAAAGGCTTGTTATCCACACCGTAATTAAATAATCAGGAAAACTCACTGAACAGATCCGACGTTTAATGTGACTGCGGTATCAGAATACAGTTCTGGGCCTGGCAAACCGCCGAAAACCTCACAGGAGCTTCGGGGCCAAAGATCAGCAAAATCTACAGCCTTGGCCGCTCTGTACCCATCAAATGGGCACCAGCAGGAGCAAAACCCACCAAGGGCTCCAGTGGGAGCCACAAAATAGGCTCTGAGCTCTCAGATGAGCCCCAGCAATAAGTGCCTGAGCGGTGCCTGGCCACCAGTCTCTGCTCCCTACTGCCCAGATTAGGAGCAGGGTCCTGCAGGAGCTGAAGGGCACTTGGAGGGGAACCTCTGGCTCATCCCCATTTGTTTTGAGATGGGAGCTCTGTCACCTCCACCCCAGGGCAGTGTCTGCAGCTCAGGAGCGAGCGTGGAGGGACACAGTGAATCTCCTCTCCATCTCATTTTCCGTGGCTGGACCATGCAACCTGCAGCTTCCTTGTCCCTGGTGACTGTGCCAAATCCAGCTAAAGGCTCCTCTTGCTCTGGCCCAAGCCCATCTGTGACTCTGCCCCATGACAATGAGAGCATCACACAGGACAGACAGTCTGGAGACGCCACTTCTAATTTGGAGACAGGCAGCTTGGGGAGCCTGTTCCTGGTGCCAGCTGAAGTCACCTCCTGGGAGGTGTAGGGTTGTCCCCATCAGTTGTCACTGCACAGGGCTGCACTGCACCAGACCACCCAGCATCATCCCCTGAGCTCCTGGCTGGGCTTTGCTCACGTTTTAAACACAGAAAGTGTTTATTAGCTCAGTGCTCAGGATTTTATTTCCCTTTTGTAACGACTTGCCTCCTCATGGCTCCACCACCGCGGGTGGGAGGAGACTGGGCTTTCACGTTTCATATTGCTAATCACGCTTGATCCCTGGAATTAACTGCGGGCAATAAGCACTAAATTAAGGTCACACGGCGTCCTTGGCAGGGGTCTTGGGACCTCTGCCGAAAGGTGCCCTCGCTCCAGCTGGGAGGGGTGAAGGCCGTGCCCTCGAGGAAATGCTTCCAGCTGAGCAGTTTTAGGCTTTAAATGAAAAGCAGGCTTGGTGGTTTACAATCAATATTTTTCAAGGTTTCAGGGCTGGTGTGAATGCAACTTCACTACTTTATAGGTGAGAAAGTTGGGGGTTTTTTGGGGAGTACAATGTACTGTTTCCTGCTGTGTGATTGCCCAGGCCTTTCCCCACTCACCCGGCCTGCTCTGTTCTGAGGGCACCTTGGATGGTCCCTCCTGAGCCTTCTCCAGCTGCAGGGGTTCCCACAGGATTAGGATTCCCAAAGCACACCAGCAACCGGACATGTGCTGGCCAACCTGCCTTCTGGGTGCCCCTTTGGGGAGAAGGATCCAACAGGGATCAAAATGGAAGCGGAGACCTCACCTGGTGGGAGCTGGAAGCCAGAAGACCCCTTGGGCAATTCCAGGTCAACAGGGAAATCATAGGTCCCCATAGCCAGTTACCAGTTCGTGAGCTCAGTTTTGGCACAGGTGCAGCAAGGATGGCAAGGGCAAGGATTTGGGACCTGGCTGGTGGGGAATGGGCAATGCATTCAGGTCCAGCCTTCATTCCCCAGTCTTGGTGCTTTATTTAAGGAGCTGTCACAGTGGCTGAGGCCGTAACAGTAACTTTAAAAAAGTCTCTAGAAAAATGAAGTGAAGAGACATTCTGTCTGGCAAGAACTCATGTGTATTTGAAATACTTCTTTTAACCGAAGAGTGGAAGTGAAGCCAAAAAAGCACATAAAACCCTCACACACTGACTTTTCACCAGCTTTATTCACAGGTTGGCATATTACAGTTCCTCGTTTTCTTGCGCTTGTGCCAGGCTCCAGATTACAAGAGGGGGAAAAATCTACACAACCCCAAGAAGCTGGTTATTAGGCCTGAACAACCCAAATACAGTATGGATTTAAAAATATAGGAGAGGAAAATAACATCTCTGTAACTTCGGAGACTGCCTTTTATTTGGTGGCTGAAGAATCAACTCCCACCTCAAAATATTCCCTATTCCTATTCCCAGCATTCCAGCTGGTGTTGAGCCTTAATATTCAGATGCATCTGCTACCAGAGAAAATTAATTTTCAGCTCTAGGATGGCCCTTAAAGGGAGGTCCTATTGACCCAAGCTGAAAATGATGGAGTCCTCACACTCTTTGCTGCAATATTTAATAGCTGCGTGGCAGTTAATTAGATTACTGAGCCACTGTGACAGATGCTAGGCAACGTCTGAAGAGGGGAATTTGGCAAGGCCATTATCTTCCAGTGCTGGGAAAGCTCTCGGAAATCTCATGTTAACCCTTTCCACTCATGCCCTGACCTCACTCATGTTAAAACCAGGTGTTCCTCAAATCAAAGGCCAGCAGAATGCTCTGAGTGTTTTTCTTTCCACCTGAGAAAAGCAGGTGGTCACATATTAGCTGCTTGGTTCCCAGCTGGCATCAAAAGAGATGAGTGCTGGGAGATGTCAGTGATTTCACCCACTGGGCGATTCCCAGGTGCCCCAACCACACCAAGTGGGAAGCAGGGAAGTGAGAGGGTGTCGGAGGGTTTGGGCAGCATTCCTTCTTCCCTCTATTAAGTGAAGTGGATTTTGATGAGTCTGTGAAAGAATTTCCCTCCCCACAGACCCCACCTTCCACATAAAACCCCAAGTGAAGGTTGTCAATCCTGCCCCCATACACGAGGGTTTCCCAGCTCCTTCAGCTGGCTGGGAGGTAGTCTCCAACCACCAACGCAGGGTTGTGTGTGCTGCCATCACTCTAAAACCTGCAGACAGAGCTCATAGAGGTGTTAAAGGCTTCCTGAGTGCTGCCCGTATCAATATCTGCTTTCACAGTGAAAGGTGAGAGGAGTTTTAGGGCTTTTCCTTGCCAGCTGGATCTCAACACAGATTGGTGAAGATGTGCAAAGCTCTGTGGAGCAAAACTGGTAACCAGAATGGCAACCGAGCATCCCACTGGGGAGGAGAGAGGAGCAACCAACTGCCCTGTCCCAATGGCATTGCAATAGCACCTTCCTCGAGCAACTGAGAACTGGAGCACCAGAATGACACAGGACATGGCAAATTTCCACCAACTTTCTTATTACACACCCTAAAACACTGATAAACATTCTTCTTCTGGTTACAAAACCCCTTCCCTCCCACTCAGGTCTCACACAGAAGTCTCAGAAGTTCTGATTTAATAACCAACAGTTTGGATGTTAAATAAACACCAAGACCATCAAATGCACCATGGCTTCTAAGCTTCTGCTTCTGCTACCCACTGAAATGTAAATACAGAACATAAAAAGAGATCCAGGATTCGCCAGCATCGCATCCCAAGGGTCACTTGCCTACATATTCATCAGCTCTGAATAAATCACACAGATACCCAAACACCCAGCAAAAACAGTGAACTACCAAGACTTTTTCCAAAGCACTTGTTGCCCAGTACCACCCAGGACTCAAATGCAAGTTTGGCCTTGCATCCCACCTTTAAATGCTCCTTTCTCATAAAATGTGAGCCAACTGGAAGCTGCAGCTTTGGCATGGTACATGGAGCCACAATTGAGGGGAGAAAGCAAGTTTCAGTTTAAAAGGAGGAGACCCTTACCTTATTGTCCTCCTGGACACAAGCCCCTGAGCCCTGCCCCTCATCATGATGGCAAGTGCTTCCAGGTGCTGACAAAAGCTGTGGGGATGAGCGAGTAAGGCACTGTTGTGATACAGTTCCACGTGTCTGACATCGGGTCATAGCAGTCCAGCGTTTTGCACCTCTGAGTCCCAAAGTAACCCCCCACCACGTAGAGCTTGTTCCCTGAGGCCAAGGCGTGGCACGACATGCGCTTGGCCGTCATGTCCCCAATGCGTGTCCACTGGTCCGTTTCGCAGTCAAAGCGGTAAGCGGATGCTGCCGTGAACTCGGTGTCTCCCCCCATGATGAAGATCTGGCTGCCCAGCACAGCAGCTGCCGTGTAGCGCCAGGGCTGTGGGCATTCGGCTTTGATCATCCACCGATTCTCGGCTGGATCATAGCACTGGACCTTGGACACCATGTCCCGGTGAATGCTGGTCCCACCAAAGACAAACAGCTTCAGCCTGGCGCTCACCACCGCAGCGTTGCTCACTCCATCTCTCAAAGGAGCCACCATCGTCCATTTGTTGGATATGGGATCGTACTTCTCTACTTGCTTCAAGGAAACAGAAGGAGAGGCAGGGAAGACTCCGGCCACTGCAGTGTGTCCACCAACCACATACAGGCAGTTTTCCAATTCAGCCGAGCCATGCCCAAACCGAGCTATTAACATTGGGGCAGCTTTTGACCATTCCTCGTGAACAGTGTCGTACACCCACACGTCTTTCGAGACCCCGTTCTCTGAGCCCCTGCCTCCAGTGATATAAACTTTGCAGCCGATGGCACAGGCACTAAACTCCTTCCGTGGACTGGGCAGGTCAGCTTTGGGGATAATTTCCTTTGCTTTGTGATCCACTTGGTAGATCTTATCACACATGAAAGTCTGTCCTCCCAGGATCAGCAAAGTGTGCCCAGCTTTGCGAGGCCTGGCACAGGGACTGGTGACCACCCCATCATTCTGGAGGATCTTCTTCTTGCACTGAATAGCTTCATCCAAGACAAGCTTGTTCCTTTCATCCACCATGATCAAGTCCTCACAAGCCAAGGCTTCCTTAAGGCATTCAGAAGGAAGCAAGGCCAAACGAACGTTCCTCAGAAGATCTGGGAGATAAGCCTTCCTCTCATCCAGATCGTACTTCACCCACTGGATAACAGCCTTAAAGACCTTTTCTTCATCCTCAATTTCCAGCTCGTCACTGGAGATGAGGTCCAGCAGGGTGTCCTTGGAAAGGTTGTTGAAGTCTTCGCTCTTGTGGACAGTCTCAAAGTTGACCAGGCACATCCTCCAGGAGAGCTCGTAGAGCCGTCGGCACTGGTGGGCATCCGAGAGCAACATCATACCCAGGCAGTTGGAAGGGTAGAGGTTCTTCTCCAGGAACTCAGCCGCTGCGTCCCGGACGTCGTGGAACTGCAGCATGTCTCCAGCCTCCAGGAGGGAATCGGCATTCTCCTCATTGATGATGATGCGAGAGGAATAAGCAAAGTCCAGCAGCAGCTCCAGCACCTCTGGGTGGAGGCTGTCATGGAAGTTCACCTCATCATCCAGGCTCTCCCGGAGGCCGTTGCTAAACATGGCTTCGAAGTACCTGCTGGAGGCAGCCAGCACTGCCCGATGACATGGGAAGGACCTGTTCCCTGCCCAAAGGGTGACATCAGTGAACATGCAGTGCTTCCGCAGGGTGTTCAGATGGGACAAGACGCAGTCTGGGTGGGAAGCTTTGTGGAAAAGCAGGATGTTCATGGAGCCGGTGCTAGTCCGGGATTTACGGTTCTCGTGGACACTGACGGACATGATGACAGAGCTCCTGCCTGCAGAGAAACCAAGAGAAAACCCATTATTCTCTTGTTTTTACTGATGTAAAACATGGTGAATACATGCATTTGCTGTCCAACCCCGGCACACTGTCAGTGGACCTCAAACAGGAAGCACCAGGTAACACTCCAGTGCTCCTGCTCGGTGGGTGCTCCTGCACCCTGGCTGGCAGAGCCCGTGCCTTCCGCACCCTCACATCCTCAAAATTTGTCTCAGGCTGAGCAGGGTGGGAAAGTGAAGGGGATGAGGGGGGAAGAAATTCTGCACTTTGGTTTCAGCAATGGAGCAACAAAGTGAAGCAATCAAAACCCAAACTAGATGGTAAATTGTCTCAACAGCCCCTAGAGGGTATTCGCAAACCACAGAAGAGTTATTTTTCCTTAGAAAACGGCATTAAGAGAGCAGTCTACCCAGGATAAAGGGCACTGGTCTGTTCTTGGCTCAGCAGAAATCAAGTTCGGCTTCTGCTCTTCCTGAAGATTATTGTAGGTTTAGGAAAAGCAATTGCTATTGGTTTTATTTGTGGAATATTTAGCTACCAGCACAAGCCAAAAGCTTTTGAACAAATTTTACCAAACCCTTTCATTGTAGTTTTTGTTGATAAAACTCACCATTCATTCATGTGACTGAAACATTCTGAAGGATAGATTCACATCAGAGAGTAAAGCCAAACAGAGAGATAAATTATGCTTTTTAACAGACAAGCAGAAGCAAACACAAGGCTTTTATTAGCTACTATTTCATTTAAGTGCTACCTGATACCTATCCTGGCCTGTAGGAAAAAAACCCCTTTGGACCAATCAAATTAATAATACATAGATGATAAAATCCAAGTCATTTACTGTAAAATATTTTAGCCAGCTCTATTTTATCCCCCATGTAACTAAAGTAGACAAACAGCTATGCATACAGTCCTGTCTTACAGCAGAAAGCCAGTACTGAAGTTGGTAGCATGACTGTCCTGAGGTTTGAAAAATGAGCCCAAAATAAAGAAAAATGGGGTCAACCTGCTGTGCCTCCATTATTGACCCCCAGGGCAGCAGACACAGCAAAGCCATCACAGGCTCTACACTAAATTACATCCATTTTTCAGTAAATGAGACTCTCCCTGGATAAAAGTAGTTTGCAGGTGGGCAGCCCACTAAATGGGCTAAAGATGGTGGCAAGTCACAGAACTGGGGGGTCTGCACTGTCCCAGGAGCGTTTAATGCTTAGGGCAGGGAGGACCCTGTTCAGATGCAAAGGAGCATCGGGGCTGCGGCCTTCAGCTCAGCTTCCCTGCTCACACAAGGCAGCCACAAGAAATGGCTACAGGCTAGTGAAAGTGGGACTAATTCACAGGAAAAAGGGGCTGCTTCAGAAACAGCATCCAGCTCTGCTACATCTCCCCTCTTCCCCTTTCCTATCCCCTCTTCCCATAACACCAGTTCTGCTTTGCAGGCTGGACACACCAGGGCTGAAACCCCACAGCATTCTGCTCCAGCTACCTAATTGTTTAGAAATGAGTAATCAGCCACATAGATATAGTTGGGGAAGGGTTTTTGCTTTACTTCCTTTTTGTTTGTGTTGCTTGGTTGGTTTTTTAACTTTCTCTTCGCATCCTGAGGTTTCTCAAGGGTCTTCTTCCCCTGCAAGCACAAGGTCTACAGATCCGTTCTGTCCTTCCCAGCAAGGCTGAGCTCACCACCTCACCCCAGCACTCGAGGTCCCGGGGAACACCTCAAACACCAAGAGGGTGGATGCAGTGCTCCCAGACTGCTCACGGGTCACGGCCTTGACCTGGCTGAGACCTGGATCCACGCAGCCCTCCCACGCTCCACAGCTGGACAACCTCAAGCGGAGGCGGACAGGCAGATAAGCTGCCTGACTCACGCTTCGCTCATGCGCTTCCTACCCCCTGCTTCTTCAGCACCTCCAAAGAGTCCAAATTCAACAAATAGTTGTGGTCACATCCCCCCTTTCCCACCTCCTGCTGTGAATTATTGAGGTTGGTCTTCCCAGGGCTTCGCTCATTCCTCAGGGCTGTGTCACAGTCCAGAGAAAAGGTGTCTCCATGCAGACACCATAGCTTGTCCAAGCAGCCACAACTCCTACTTGGCCTCTGAGCTGGGCAGGAGCACTGACACAGGTATTCGGGTTGGCTTTGTGCATGCTCCTCACCAAAATCCCTGCAGCTTGGGGCTGAGACTGCCAAGCTGATTGCGCTTCTGATCGGAGGCTGCGCAGAATCAAGGCTCCAAAACAGGAAGGGAAATGCCATTACGGAGCAGCACTTTGAAGTGCATCTGAGGGAAATGGTTTCCAAAATCTATGTCCAGTGGAGAGACAACACTAATTTAAGAGGTTATATGGATTCCTGTGTCAAAGCTCTGTAAAGCGGAGGTGAGGAATACAAATGAAACATTTATGAGTCTGCTAAAAGCTATTGATTTAGGTTCCTGTTCCTACAACCTCAGAAAACCCTGCCATTGCTTTCTGTGTTCGCATCTCAGGTCAGCTATTGAGTGTTAATTTCTGATTTAATTATGCACAAAAAAATACACAATTTACATAATACGGCTATGGAAACAAATAAAAAGACTGCAGGAAGGCAGCATAATTTTTTTTCTTTCACTAAGATTAGAAAAGCCACTACTCAGAATGGAAGGAGTGGGTCATTTAGAAATGAAAAATGTCTATAGAAAAGCTGCAGCAGAGCCACTTTTTTATATATATATAAATACAGTCACATACATGAATACACGCACACATATGTAAAATCTCAGGCTTCTAACATGAAACATCTTGCCCTAAGCACTGGGGTAACCAAGTAATATTTCTATCCAACGGGTATGGTACAGCATCCAGGGGATAAATTCACAGGTTCCAGTCCAGTCCCCATTAGCACCACTCTTCATACCACCTTGTCCCACTACACACACCAGCTGGTCCCCAGTACAGCTGCAAGCCTGAAAGCTGAAGAGGCCACAGCCCCTTTACTTGGCCCCTTCTGGAGCTGGGCTGTGACACTGGAATTCACTGGTCACAGATTGCCCAGGCTGGACAGACCATACAACTGAAAATAAAGCAGCCTCTGAACTGTGGTGTGCAGCCACCTCACCAGCAAGGCTTGCTTGTGGCTTTCAGCAACTTCCAAAAAGCTTGTTTTGAGGGCTCCTTGCTTGCTACCACGGCTGGGCACAGGCAGAAAAGTGGCAGGTCCCCTCCCAAACACACCCCACCGCATCTCCCAGCCTACCAGAGAGCCTGGCATCATCCCACCCCTAGCAGATGAAGAGAAACTGCAGGCAGCAGCAATTTAATCTGATGGGTTTCTTCCAAAATCCAGCAGCCTTATGAATCTCAGAAGCCTGTAACTAAAAGGATTTTCTACACTTTTCATGATGTGCACGAGCAAATGCTTCAATTTAAGCACCATTTAAGTGCAGTGATGAGCAGGCTGGACCCATGACATGTGCTCTTATGGGCACCTCTCAGAAGCAGATGCATGCAGAGCAGAATTTGGCATCTATCACACTCCTTGCTTCCCTTACCCAGCTACTGAGCTAAAGAGAAAAACCAGAACCACTCAGAACGAGGAATATTTTACACAAAGAAACCTGCCAGTGGCTCTTTCCAGGCTCCCACCTGCTCCGTGAGAGCTCAGGGGGTTATCGGAGCTCACAGCCGCATCTCCCATCACGCAGGAAGCTATCGCTAGAGCAGACACCTCAACACGAATAGCAGATGGTGTGACCTGAACAAACTGGGTCTTGGACTTCTCCACGCTGCCTTAATTTTTTTTTCTACGAAAGCCAGTTATTAAAAAATAAGTATCTACCGCGCAGCCTTTTAGAAGGATCTTAATGCACACAGAGGCAGGCGATAACCCTTCCTCCATATGGATGAGGGCAGAAGGGCATCAGCTTTTTGACAGCTATCCAGCACTGTCTGCAGGCTACAGTATTCCCCTGGCTGTCTGCAGCCTTTGTGCAGGATTTTTCCAGCAGAGCAAGATAAGGGCGCTTTGGAAATCCTTCCACTCACCCACACAGGGCGGACAGAAAGCCCAAAGGAGGAGAGGAGTTGTCACAGGGAGAAAAGACCCTCGGTGAAAAACCAAAACCACCGAGCTGGCCAAACTCCTCCCTAAACAATGGCCACAGTTCGCTTGTCCAACCTCTCACTTTCTAAAAATCATGCCCCAGCAGCAGGCTGTCCCTCCCAGTGGTCACCAGGTTGGAGCCCTGCTGTAGGGAGCTGCTATGGGTGATTTAGGAAAATCCCAGGAATCGCTCTGTTACATCTTGAAAAACCCAAGCAGCACTTAGAAATCCAATACCTCAAAGCTGTATCAGCCTTCAATCACAAAAGAAATGCCTAAGAGAGGACAGCTCAGAAGGACTGTGGATACGTGGGCTGTATTTAGCTATGCTTGGGGTTCCCTCCTCCATCTCACACCAGCAGGCTGCCCACAAACCTCCAATTTCACTCACTGTCTGCAGGGAATTGCCAGCTGAGATGCCACTTCCTTTCAAGAGGACAATATTTGAGAGTGAATAAGATGTTCCCCAGTGGGACTTCAGGGGATCAGGAATAATTTCTGCTTAGAAGGGCAAAACTACAGGATTTATAAGTGTTCTTCCAAGACAGTAAGGTTGGCTAAACACCAACAAAGAACCCAAATCCCATGAACCGAAGCTGGCACTTTCTGTTTGCCAATCAGACTTCTGGGGAAGCAGCAAGCAGAACACGTTTCTTTTTGCCCCACTCAACCATGAACTATTTAAACCCATAAATAAGTAAATAAATAAGCAGTAAGGTTCCCTGCTGGCTTAGCTCAGAAGACCTGGAAGAAGCCGCTCACGCCACAGCAGAGGTTGCAGAGCAGCAGCCTCCTGCCCACAGGGCTCCACTTCTTCCCAGGGCTGTGATTTACTTGATGGCTGGTGTGTGCTCTCTGCTAGGGGCTTTCAGTAGCAGTTAAATGCTAACCATGA